AGATGTGTATAAGAGACTTGCTATGTAATGTAGTTAGATTTATATAGCGCTTTATACAGAAGTCTCTAAGCGCTCGAGCTGTGGACTAGCTCGTACAAACTTGCTTCTCAAGGTCTACACGTCTCAGCTACCCAGTAAACCGGTACCAGTTATCCCTCGTCTGTCCACGAAAGAGGCTGTGGCCTATGTACTATATACATAATTTAGGTATACAAATAGGCTAGATAAATAATAATAGGCCTATAGGTACGGTACATACTTTGATGTTGGTCGTATCAATCAGTTCTTCAATGAAAAGTTCCTTTTGCAGTATGAAAAGGTTTCTCAGCTAGGAGTCGAACCTGCGTCCTCTCACTCTGAGACTGAACTTCATACCATACGACCACAGATGGCCATACAATATTTACAGAGATCCAATCCCCAAATACCTTCTCTTATCAACGACATTTAGGCAGCTCATATATTAGCATTATGTAATAATAATAATAATTATTATTAATATTAAAGATTGCCTGTGTGTTTTTTTCTTTACATGAGGTTCTTATTTCAATCATAATAATTGATACATCCCCCTTACTTTGTTTGTACTTCATAGGGCGGTACGATAGCTGTTCAGGCAGTGCAGTCAAGACCTAAAGAGTTCGCTGGCTGTGTGCTGATTGGTCCAGCTATCCAACCGACTTCAGAACAGGCGTCTGCTATCTCGGTTTGTTAAACGATATTCGATGATGATGATGATGATGATAGCAATGATATAATGAAGATAACGACGACGAAGTTTTGATACTGATGATATCATATGGTGGTGGCAGATGATGACACGACGACGAGTCGACTTCTCAATTATGACTATGATATATATTATAGGCCTAGGTTTATGGTGATATTGATTACGATGGTGTCGTCGTCGGCAACGACGACGACGACGATGATGCTGATGGATGATGTTGTCACTGGCAACGACGATGGCAGCGGCGGCAATGGCGTGGTTGACAAAACAGACGATTATGATAATGTTGATGATCATTGTAATTGTAACATGATTAATTATTTATTCTCTTCCAGCAATTTATCGACAAGACGGCCGCGTCAATCCTCCCCCTGTTCGGTGTTAGCAAGGTTGATCCAGATTCATTGAGTTCGGACCCGAAAGAAGTAATTACGTTTCCTTATATCATTTGTCAAATTGCCTAGTTCTAATAATAATAACATATTATTTATATGGCACCAATTCCAATCATGCTCGAGAGCATTGGCTACATAGATCAGTGGCGGATTCAACGACGATGCTTCTCTGGGCCCCGTTTATTTCGATTTCCTGGATCCGCCACTGTAGATGAATACAACATAATACATCCAGTGCTCCTACCTGATTCGATGCCACAGCACCCTATGGTACCCATATTCCTGGGTAAACAGAGGCAAACATGGGTGGGCGAAGTGTTTGGCCAAGAACTAAGTTAGCCTAATGGTATTCACCACCCGGCCTGAGAAACCATGTTAATCAGGGACCCGGTCACTATGTTACAACCTTACGAAAACGATAACAAATACGTCATTATCATTATCGTAATTCGTGCCTAAAACATTCTTGACAATGTACTGTGACAGTATAAGCTGAATATGATCCTTCATTCATGCAAAAGTCATGTAATGAATTTGCCTACTTTGTGACAGATATGCTATTGTACCGTCTAGAGGACGGGTTGTCTAAAAAGTTGATGACGTATACCGGTAAGCGTATTCGTTATCATTTTCGTAAGCTTGCAAAGCTCCCTAAAGGTCTTTTCAGAGGGTCTAAAATTACGCATTATCATCATTCCAACAGGTGACTGACTACATCAAAGATCCGCTAGTGTACCACGGAAGACTTCGTGCGCGCCATTCCGTTGAATTTATGGTAGCCATGGAAACACTTGAAAATAAAATCCCCAGCATCGAGTGGCCATTTTTCATTCTTCATGGAGAGGACGACAAACGCTGTTCATTGGACGGTTCAAAATTGCTGTTTGAGAAGGCAAAGAGCTTGGATAAAAAGCTGAAGGTTACTTGATTTTTTTAAAGAAAAGATTTGGTCCATAATGGTGTGTGGTTTATGAAACAAGTGGTCTCAGATCATCATCAATCAATATAATCATCATCATCATCTTCCTATTCATCTTCATCATCATAATTTATTTGTTTATTTATTTTCAATTTTTCGACAGAGAAACAAACGGGCAAAAAAGTTAAACAGTGGCCGTCGAGTTTAGGCAAAGTTTTTAAACTGTCATCAAAAGATCATTTTCAAATATAATATGTATGTACTGTATGCATGTACGTACACTTTTAAAAGATATTGGCAAATAAATGTTATTGGTTCTACCGTCAGCAGCCACCGACCCTAGATTTCAGAGATTTTGGTTTGTCGGGCTTTCCCTATTAGTCATTATCAGTTATAATTATTTTCATGTTACGTTTATGTCTTCCATGGTTCGTTACAATAATATGCCACGCAACTAATATTTCATATTTATGATAGGCCTATTTATTTTTACTGTGTTATTTCTTTAAGATCTATCCTGGTCATCGGCACGCATTGCATCGTGAGTCTCCCGATAAAGCTGATGCTGTCATAAAAGACATTGTGGCCTGGTTGGTGAAGAGGATTTAATCATTGGTATATGAAACGTCTCCGACATTTCTTTAACGAGAGGCCTGTATAGGATAGAATGAATCAAATGCTAGGCCCGTAGGCAGTATTTTCGATAGGGGTGGGGGAGTTTTTGGGGAGCCAAAGTGAGCTTTAGGCTGGTGGCCTGGGGTGGCCTGGTGCCGCCTATGACCCACGGGGGGATCAAGGCAGAGCCCTCTCGGAAGCTAAGACAAAGTAGAATTTTGAGGGCCTTATTATTCCATGGATTTCTGCAACACATAATTCGTGAATAGTTTATGTAAATTTCCATCAATTTGTTTGTTGTTAGGAACCTGAAGAAGTAACGTTTTATGTCCATTAATAATAATAATTTTGGCTTATATAGCGCATTATGCTAAAGCCTCAATGCGCTTAACAGTAAAAATAAAATTCGGGGGAAAAAAAATTAAGAAAAATACAAGTTAAAAAGGTGAGTTTTTAAAGCTGCCTTACATTTGTAGGCCTACATATAACACAGATTTTTGTTCATATGGATCAATTTGCAATGACCGGAGCTAATCAATTGCGAACAAATTACGTAGCACAGTTATAAATAATCAACGGTTGGAGGAGTTGGCAAATGCATAGCAATTCGTGATAATTTGGAACCATTTTATTGAAATAATAATAAGCTTTAAAAGGTACACCTTTTGAAATGTTGTGGGGAGGGGGCATACGTCAGTTGATTCAGTATGAATCAGGTGATTCATACTAGGATCTCGCAAACTATGCGGTTTCCTTCCTTACTTTATACTTTTTAGTCCCAAAATGAGCCTCTTTTTATAGGTGTGCGTTATTAAAGATGGGAGATAGTTATCGATATGACACGATACCAACAGACGATTGCACACAATATTTAGTAGTTAAATTGGAGTCATTTAGTTTTAAGCCTACTATACAATGATGCATGCACAAGACTGTATTTAAGAGTTGTTTATGGTAAGACAATAACGAACCAAATATTTTGGGGCCAACGTACAATCGTCAGCTAGGCCTAACACGAATTTTAGTGGACCAATTTTATTAACAGCAGGCCTACAATATGAACTACAGTTCGCCCTCCAATTCGAGACCACCTTTGTGACCTGAAAATACATGGGGTGGCCTTGGGGTTGGTCTCCAATTAGAGGGCTAGTTTTGTGTTAAAATGTTGAATATTTGTTGGAAAAGTGCTCTCGAATTGCAGAGGTCTCGGAATTAGAGGGGTCTCCAATTGGAGGGAGCACTGTATTTAATTCGTCTGATCATCATTAGGGAGGTTTCTCTAGCTTACGATAAAGATAACGAATACGGTTATACGGTACGTCATTAATTTTTTAGTAGATCCATCCCATACACTACCATATCAGTCACAGCATAGGTTATGCATGCCTTTTACATGAATCAATGATCATATTCAGCTCGTATATGTATTTTCAAGAATTACTCTCAGCTTAGCCGTGAATGACGATGACGAAGATATTCGTGTTTGTTATCGTTTTCGTAAGGTTGCAAAATTTCCTTATTAACATTCCGTTACATTTAATGTATAGACCTTATTAATTTTAGGTAAGTTAAACTTTCCTAAGTCGAAACTTTCCTAAGTCGACTTTGCCTTACTCGAATTTGCCTTACTCGAATTATTTCTAAGTTGAACTTATTTTACATGCCAGATTGTGGTGTTTTCCATTAATTAACAATCTATAAGTCGAATTTTATCTAAGTCGAACAATATTTCAATGGCATTTTGGATTCGACTTAGGCAAGTTCAACTAATCATTGTAAATTTTGAATATCCAAGTTACCAATCCTTCTGGGGACTAAAAACTCCAACTGCGCAATCCCAGAGTTGGAGATATTTTGTTATAATGCTTACAGGTCTCCCTCTAATTAAAGACCACCTCCAATTAAAGACCATTTTTCTGTGGTCCCAAATTAACAAATGTATTTTCTTTATTTTTCTAATTAAAGACTAAAGCTACTAAAGACCATGGAAACCCCAGTCCGAAAAGTGGTCTTTAATTGGAGGAATACCTGTATTTAAAACGATATGCATACAAATAGGTGTGCGCACGGTGGTTCGATCAGTCTAGCCTAGTTGGCATATTTTGTAGAAGAGTTTCCGTATGTTTTTTGAGTGAACAATCGTCGTAACGCCCGATTCCACTATATTGGAGGGCCCCCGCTTTACTCACGGTTCACTTGTTTTGATTATACGATTCAATGGGTGTGTTTTATATGTTGTTTTATATCTTGCGAGTTGAACATTTAAAATAGGTTTAAGGTAGGCCAATAGTAGGCTATATTTGTTAAATCTGGGGGCATACAGTATCAACGGTTATGGAAGCCCCATTTTCAATGGTATATTCTGTTACTTTTCCAATACGATCTTTTATAATCCTTAATATGTGACAGGCCTACTGAAAACTGTTATGAGTGCTTTTTTATAATGTTATGTATACAAACACACAAAAAAGAAACACAGATTCATTATTTTGAAATTGAAAACCTACAGTCAATAATAAATTCTGGCATTTTTGTTACCAAAGCAGCCACGTCGGGGCTGAGCGACGCGTTTAAGATAAAAAAAAAAATGCACCTCCTCTATACCATCACATTATATGGGGTATTAATTAAGGCAATAATACGTTAATTAATACCCCTATAGTATGATGGTGCACAGAAGGTGTAGATGGATTGCCTATTTCTATACTTGAACAAAACTAAATTTTATAATTATGTTATATGCACTGGCCTATATTATAGGCTATTATATGTACATAGGCTTTGGTTTAAGTAGTTTTAATAATAATTGTAACACTGTGTTTTATTAAAGAATTACATTTTAACATATTGTACTAAAATATATGCGTTAGCGTTTCAATTATCTAGGATACTCAGATATGTTGCTATTATAATTTGTCCTTGTTAGATGGGTTTTGTTGGTGGAAGTGGTGTGATGATGGAGATAAATGACGATAAAGACAACGTCGATGATGCTAATGATGATAACGACGACGATAATGTGATGATCGTGATTTTTTTATGTGCCCACATAGGCTTACATTACTGTCTTTGCAATTAATCATTTTCTTTTAATCATTTTACGTCGGTGACGAGTTCAATTCTAGTTATTGTTACTACTACTACTACTACTACTACTACTACTACTACTACTACTACTACTACTACTACTACTACTACTACTACTACTACTACTACTGCTACTGCTACTGCTACTGCTGCTGCTGCTGCTGCTGCTACTACTACTCCTACTGCTACTACTACCGGTCGCGAACGCCCACTTCGCCCCCTCTTGGATCCACCACCGATACGCATCAATAAAATTTACCAATTAAGTTATTATTATTACAAGCATGATGACGGTTTTATTTTCAGTCTGTCAATAATTATTCGATCAACAAAACAAATACGATACCGACGGTAAGTGTATCCAAGTACATTAACAAGAGAGGCCAGAAGAGACGTGAAAGAGGACCGATTAAGGATTATACTGTTGTATACAGTGATTTTGTTGTCATCGATATGGAGAAATCAGGTAAAATGTAGTACTGTACCCGTGCTATTCCTATTTAAACGCAATCTATCCAAAATGGAGCCCTCAAGCAAAGTGTGACATCTGTATTTTTAGTCTAACATGCACCGTGGTTTGCCGTTGGAGAGGATTCTTGGACTATGTACCACTACTGGTGTTGATACTTTTTGGCATGATTTAAAAAAAATATACATCATGTCATTGTTGTCTGTGTTCCCTCTAATTGACTCTCATTGTGTTTTTCAGTTCTTATTTTCAATGTAAAAAGTATATCAAGCACATTTAGCCTATTTTACACTACTATTTATTGCCAGCCTTTGAAATTATTCATCAAAAATGTATGTTAAATATTAGTTATTTTAACATTTAATTCCTAGATTTCAGACAGTTGTTGATAACCATATCCGATTGGTATGATGAACGGGATTCCATCAGAATGCTGAAAGTTTTATACAGGGTCATTCTGGAAGATACTCAAAGGCTTCAGGAGGCTAGTAAAATGATGGAATTACTGGAATGGTTGATTGGAACTTGGAAACTGAGTTCAACCAATCTCTATGAAACTATAAATGTAACCAATCAATTTGCGTTGTGGAATGAAATCAAAGATCGATTTCCACCATACCCATCCGAAAATGTTTTTCCAAACTTTAGTTTATACAGACGAAATATCATAAAGTTTGGATTGGCACTAACTGAGGGTCATATAGCAAAGATCAAGGGACTGGACTACAGAACATCATTTAAGAAATATCCAGACAGTTGGAGTTTGATTATGGATCTAGAACAAAAGAGGATAATTTGCGAAAATAACATCAACATAGTTATTAAGAAGTTAGAATGCAATGGACTATATACTGTACCGTTTGCTCTAGGTGGTGGTATGTTCATTATTGAATATTATTGTAATAACAAGTAATGGGATAGATAAAATAATTGATAAAATTCACCAAAAATTATGGGCTTTGGTGGTAGGCCATTGGAAAACGCAAGTTCAGAAGAATGCATTATGTTTTAGTAATGAATATTACATGGTACACACCAAGTTATACTTAAAAGTAAAATACAATATCATGCTACTACAGTATGTTTATGATATATTGGTCACATTTTGAGCTTTGAAGATGCAGTACATCCTTATTTAAATCAGTTATTTGGCCGTGATTAGAATCAGTTCATCGGTCATTAGGACTGCTTATGCAATGCGATTTCGATGCATTTCCTATTTCACACAACCTAATATTATTTTGTTGAATTTATAATACGACCTTTTGATTAAATTTAAGAATATGAATCAATGTCTTCTTTTAATTAACATTAGAAGGTATTGGGAATGCAAAAAAAAATTGTACCCCAATAGGGCTCAGCCTTTGACGGTACTCCACTTTCAGATCTCAATTCTCCCACTAGTAGACCTACCAAATCGATTCAGTTCGCGATATGCTCAGGGATGAATAATTTTCCTGACGAAAATTTGTCAATTATTATGTGAGAATTTGAGAGGCTATGCTATGGTATAATTGTGACATAAGATATGGAATGGATAGGGTTTCATAGGAATATCTCGAAACTCGGAAGTATGAAGTTGTGTTGGTCCGCCACTGACCCCAACACACTGTCTGGCAACCAGCTTAAAAAGGTTGAATACCCGGGCCCAAAATGCTAATTAAAACACAAGTCTTTTAAACGTGGCTAACGTTTGCAATTCATATTCATTATTATTTGTTGGCCAACCATACTTCTCGATAATATCATTGTTTTCTTCTTTGATTATCACGATGACCACATTGAGTGAAAAGCCTAAATATTAATACAGTACAGTATTATAATTATTATTACGAATCGAATGAACCAGCAGTACCGGTATTTTGAAGCAACACAATACAATTCTCCTTCAAATTAAAGATTGTAGTACAACTGTTTATCAGTGTGATTAATCTGCTCAAAAACAATTTTAATTACTTGTGCAAATATAAAGATGTGGGTAACCCACATCTTTTTATATACGACTTTCCATGGATCTCGACCTGCTATGTAGGCCCTCTTTAGGCTAGACGCGCCTAGGCGGTTGGAAGCGACGATCGAAGAAAAAAGGTTAAGCAAGCCAAGGACTTCGGTAACTTCGTTCCTCAGTATTAAAATCCTTCCATTGATGGGCACTGTCTAAAAATTTCTTCCAGCTTATCTCTGAAAAGATTGTAACCTTTTCGTCTGCAGTTGGCTCAACATGAATTACACAGGAGCCAGTGAGCTTCCATGACGGCCTGGGCTCGAACATGACACGTTGTTGTTTGATGTTATTTCGCGACGTCATCAACGAGTACAATACATTCATTATCCACCATCAACTAAACTGCTTTAAAGAAAAAAAAAGAATTGGTTCGTGTGGGAATCGAACACACAACTCCACAATCAACTAATCTGCCTAAAAAAAATAAAAAAATAAAAGAAAAAAAATAAAAAAAAAACTGGCTCGTGTGGGAATCGAACCCACGACCTTAAAAAAATAAAAATACGAAATAAATAAAAAAAATAAAAAAAAAATTGCCCCGTGTGGGAATCGAACCCACGATCGCCGAGTTTACTACTCCTGATCCAGCATGACTAAACGGAGGGAGGTAAACCGCGGCCCCTAAACCATAAATGCGATAAACCTAGTACCACACCAAATACCAGTTAGTCAACTCTGATCCTACTAGAAAAAATTCTTTGTATATATACACTGCAGGTTAATATTACGCATGGTCATGATGTCATGATGTCAAAAATGGGCCGTGGGCCAAGAGGGTTTATTTTTTGTCTAAAAATGTAGAATTAAATTTATAATCGATTTTTGATTGTTACCATCTCCATAACTTACGCACTTTCTTTTAAATAGACAAAAATGTTTGAAAAATTCATTATGCAAATTAGAAAAAAATAGACTAATCATGTTACGGGAAACCTGGTGGTTGTGTGTTCAATTCCCACACGAACCAATTTTTTTTTTTTTTTTTTTTTTTTTTCAAAGCAGTTTAGTTGATGGTGGATAATGAATAGCAAAACCTGGTGGTTGTGTGTTCGATTCCCACACGAACCATTTTTTTTAAAGCAGTTTAGTTGATGGTGGATAATGAATAGCAAACCTGCTGGTTGTGTGTTCGATTCCCACACGAACCAATTTTTTTTTTTTTTTTTGCCCGACGTCGCTAAACTTTTGAAATTTACAAACTATATCCAACGTATATATAATAAATGTTAAAATTTAGACTATATGTTATGTGTAATACATCTACGTAGTTTAAGACATGATGATGAAATAAAAGTGAGACGATCCCACAAAAGAGAAAAAAAAAACTACAGGTATAACCAACGTCGGCCCAACTGTTGTCACCAACCTCCACTAACGTTTACCGACGTCGGGCCAACAAAGTACCCTTCCTCCCCCCCCCCCTTTTTTTTAAATTAAATCTTTCAGCTGATTTTTATGATAAATCACCGTATTTTTTTAAATAAAATCTAATCCTAATTCGTACACTGACTACCACCGATCTGACTACAGTACTTCTCTTGTGCGTCGGCCGACGCAATAAAGAACGCAAAGCGACGAAGAGATCGTTTTTAAGTTAACCCTGTTTTCCACTAGGTGAATTTATCCGCGCGAATCAATCTTCGGTACGCTTTCTGAGCTCTGATTGGTTGCGCATATTTTTCACTTCGCAAAAACCCAAATAGAAATGTGAATGCGCATGCGTATGAACTGACGCTTTGATTCGCGCGTAAATTTGCCTAGCGGAAAACCAGCTTATGCGCATTTACATTTACATTGGAGTAAATCAGAGCTAAAGCTGGTTTTCCACTAGGCGAATTTATTCGCGCGAGTCAAAGCGTCGGTTCGCTTCCTGAGCTCATTGGTTGTGCATTTTTTCGCTTCGCAATAACTCCGATAGGAATGTGAACGCGCTTCAGGAAGGGAACATACGCTGTCGATTCTCGCGAATAAATTCACCTAGTGGAAAACAGACAATTAGCAGACGGCGTCGCGTCGTCTATAGTTGGATTCGTCGTACAACGTAGTGAGTGCCCGGCTTAAGGAAGATTTGACATATTTTAGTACATAACTACAATTTGTTTTAACAAATATTTTTTTCCTATTCGTATACTTCACAAGCGTAACTAATTTACATTAAAGTGAGCTAAGTATTTATACAATAAGATAATTAATATAGTATTTCGATAAACTAGTAAACAGTAAATACCCATAACGCGCATAACACACAAAACGTTGTTATAACGTTCGCGAACGTTGTGGTTAGATAAATAATGTTCACACTACTGCAGTCACTACGTTGTAACAACGTTCAAACATTGTGACGTTGTGAAATTAGGTTATAAGTACGTATATCTTTATCACAAAACTGTAACGTTCTTATAACGTAATATTAGGTAGTTTTCGCCCCACGACGCTAACCTTAACATTAACGTTTAGTACCCAACATGCAACACGATAGCTACGCCCCTTTTGTAAACAAATTGAAATACGCATGCGCAAACCCGTAACTAACGTACGTCGAGCACTTAAAATCCTGAAATCAACGTACTCCGCAACGCAAGATGAATGCATTGTGACTTCATCCGTTAACGTTAAGGTTAAAGTCGTTCGGCGAAAACTACCTATTGTTAGTTAGGATCCAAATGGATCAAACCTTCATGTGTCGGATATTTTCTCCTGATAATAGGACATGGCTTTTAAACACGTAGAATTTTTATTTATTTATTTTTTTTTTTTGGACTTTTTGCCCTGTGTTGCATCTATCTTCCTTCCTTCCAACCTTCCTCCCCCTCCCCTTCCTGACTGACTGACTGATATATGATGTTGAAATCATTAAATTTGTATATGATCTTTTATTTATATTTAAGTAATGTGTTTGGCGGTTATTCTTCAGATCAAAAGACATACAGGACAATCAGGTATACATCTACGGTAGTTTGATAAAAAGTTGTTCCCAAGTTGATTTAGCATAAACAAACATATCAGAGTCCTTAGGTCGTGTAGCTAATCCATTACGGATACCAAATGTTAAGACAGATTCTTCTTCCTTAGATAATGTTTCGCCATTTAAGTTAGTAATTATATGGTTAGGGTAGTTACACGTTCCATTGATTATTGCATGTTCACGTAGAAGGTTGTTAAATTTACGTCCATGGCGGTAAGATACCTTACGCATTTCCTTATCTACAGTAGTCCTAACA